TCGAATTAATAAGTCCTGAAGACAATATAAAAATAGAAACATAGCCTAAATATTATATAAAATTGTGATCAGATCTAGATTTTAAATTTATTATTAACTTAATTATTCTCTATACGTATATTTTTTATAATTGGTATATTTCTTTTAGACTGATTAATTCTAATTGCTTAAATATATCTTTATCTATTTCTTTTTCTACTGTTATTATTTTTTGTAATATGCACTTATCCATTTTATTTTTCTAATATGCAATTTTTATCTGATTTTTTGGTTATTTCTAATATTATTTTATATTTCATGTCATTATTTTTTCTTGTTTTGTCAATTATTTATTATTTGTCTACACTATAATTACTTCGATCCATTTTTTTTAATTTTTCTGGTGGATATTAATTCAAAAGATTCTTTGGAGAGTTCCCCGTAAGGATAAGATAATATATGTATTATTTTCTTTCAAAAATTAACTGCTACCTATATTTAATAATAGATGTTGAATTCATGCATAATTTTCTAATAATTGATTTTTTAAAGAATTTTTGCTGAGTTCTTTTAATAACTTGACTATAGTATTAGTTTGTTCGATAATTATTTGTAGTGCAGTACTATTATTTAATTATCTTATTAGACTTCTTCAGTGTATTTGATTCCCATACATTAATATTGGAAAAACCGATAAACAACTCTAATATCAATTCTAAAACACACGCGTAGAGGACAATTAAGTTAAACATAAATTAAAATTCAGAAACTTTATATAACAATTTTAATATAACCTTTGAGCTTATATTTTGTTTTTTATATTGTCTTCAGCACTAAATTGTTTCGAATTTTAATACTTTAAAGACTTAATTAAATAAAATTAAAAGCTTTAAAAGACTTAAAACGAAAAAATATTAAACTTTAGAGACTATAATTATAATTTATTATTAATTTATTTTTCTTGGTGATATCTCCGAACTCACTAGACATATTTGATTGGTAATTCCATTTGTTCAAAATTATTTTGTAGGAGTGGGTGTAAAAGTGATCCTGTCTTAAAATATGATCCTGTCTTAAAATATTTACTTCAATAAAAATAATAAATAAATCAAAACCAAAGACCTCAAAAGGGTGACAAAAACAGAGTCTCAAAGTTAGAGTCTGGCCTCGTAGCCTAGGTCTTTAGTTGGCCCGTAGCTCAAGTCTTCATCTTGAATTTGTTCTCTCATCTCTGTATCTCTCTGTCACTACATGTGCGACCGGATTTGTATACATCCCAACCTCCGTGGTATTATATTAGCAGTATTTAAATAAGTTAATTGAGCTCAAAAAATGTATACTTAGCTGAGATTTTAGAGAAATGAGAGGGAGAATCAACTCTAGAGAGAAGACAATTGTAAAGAAATTGAAGCAGAATTTGTAGAATTGAACTAAAGTACAGTTTGAATTCAACTTTAGGTATATTTTCAAAATCATAATCTTTGCAAATAATTTAAGTAGGAGTCGGGTTCATGGAATCCCATAGAGTATGGTTACATGTAATTAAGTAGTGAATGCAAGAATTTCTATGGATTTGCCACTAAGAGCATAATTGAGAGATGCATGCACGAATCACCATTTTGAGTTTGAATTTCATGAAATTTTTCACATGCTAAAGCTATACTTGACATCTTTGAAGGCATTCCATAGTTCACTACTACAAAACTAAGTTTTTACGGTTTCATATCAAGGACATACAGTAATACAAGCCGTACTTTCTCCTTTTTATAACTTGCTTTTTTTTGCATGTCGTAAATAATTTTCCAATCATGACGTATCTATAGCGTAGGTCGTGAATGCTAATAAATAATGATTTTTTAAAGGCTTGCAATGTTTGCCATAAAAATAATAAAACTTTCTATGGCGTGCATATGGCATGAGCCGTAAATACATCAACTATACACTACACGCATACATCAGTTGTTAAAAATATTGAATATTTCACGGAGCTACAAAAAGTCAGCCGTTAAACATTGCACTTTCACGACGAACAAAAAGCTAGTATTTAAATATTACACTTTCCACGCGTGCAATTGCTATCGATGAAAGGGACGACCAAAAAAAAAAGGTAGGCGCCAAAATAAAAATTTGAGCCGCCAATCACTAAAAATAAAAATAAAAAAGAAAAAGAAAAAGAAAAGAAAGAAACAAACAATCAAAAGTCCCAACTTTCAGCCCCAACATCAACTTAAAAAAAAAAAACTCAAGCAATTTTTGTGCAGTGAGGAGGGTGACGAAGAAGAAGAAGAGACACTGTGATAGAATCCTCCATCTCCATAACCATAACTCACCTTTCTTCCGCTTCACCCTTAACGCCTAACCCTACCCTAACCCTAACCAATAACCGTAAACTTCTTCTATCTCACTCCACCACTACCAACTGAAATCACTTCACCACCCCACCTCTGCCTCTTGCCGAAGCCTTCCTAATCTCTCAACCGCTCTCTTCAACACTCAACCACCTCATCCACCTCTCCGAAACCACCCTTCCACTCCTTCTCTAGTCTCTCGCCGACCACCACCACCACCACCACTGCCCCTCTACCCTCTACCCTTTCAATTTCCACACCTCCTTCTAACCGGAATCCCTCTTTCGGCACTCCCTCCAATGTCTTCTTCCTCTTCCCCCCTTCTCAACCTAGCCCCCTCAGCACTCTAATCATTGCACTACCCTAACACTCTGAATTCCTCCCAACAACTCCTCAATTCAGAACCACTCCTTCAAACCCTAACGATCCCAACTCTGACCAACTCTTCAATCATAACCGCTTCCTCAAACCCTACACGATCCTTAACTTCTGACCTTTGTTTCTCCCTCGACAATTATGTGGCTTCGCCCCAATTTCTTCTACAGTAATTAGCCCATCGTTAGTTTAGCTCTGCTTATAGAGATAGTTTTGAACCGAACCTTCACTCTCCCAGGTATTCTATTGATTAGTGCCACATTTTGTAGGCAGTGATAATGTGAAATTAAGGGTTTTTCTAAGGGATTGTGTTAGGGCTTACTTCCTTCTGAGTTGTGGCTTGTAGAAACGAAATCGAGTCGTGGAGGGATTATCCTATTGCCTATTTGCTATAGAAGTTCTTTCCGGATTCAATTTTGGTTGTTTTGTTATGGCTGAAGATTGTGATTTCCTTAAATGGAT